GGCACTGACCTTGTACTTAGACCTCTGCACAGATATTTGGAGCAGTTTACAGTCATTATATAAATCTATTAGCACTCCTAGTGTTTGGAGCTCCTTGCAGATTGTTGCAGCTGATTGCCAATTGGTTCAGTACACTTTATATCTTCAGCACACCCAATTGTCTTTAATATCCTGAATCAGAGGCAGCCAAACACTTTGTGGACTTGGAATGGATCAGTCTTTCTATTTCTTATCATTATTATGCCTTTTGTTGACCTTTCCTTTCTTATCTTCAAAGCTCCCAAGTTTCTGATTGGTTTACCCATGTGGCATGTGATTCTTATCTCCAGGTCCATATATACTCATCTTGGCAATCACTCTAATTATTTAGACTTTATAGCTATTGCTTTTTATCTTATATTGTTCACACTATCACTCCTTTATTGTCTTTACATTTGACAGCTCTTAGCATGTATTTCTGAGTACTCTATGCCTCTGCTGATCTCCCTATCTTGTACCTGTTTGGACTTACTATAAAAGGGCACCTATGGCCTTTGCAATATACTAGCTTTGGCTCCCCCTTATTTAGATTCCATTTGTATGCTTGTGTCTATGAAACCTCAAGCCTTCACCTTCCAATCCTTGTTTGCATTTTGCCTCTTTTTTTGTGTTATTGAATTTGGTCATAACCCTTAATCAGAGCCCTCATTATCTTGCTCTCTCCCTCTCATCTGTTTTGTCATTCTCTGCTAGTGTCCAGTGTGGCCTCACACCCATTCCTTCTTCTTTGCATTCTAATCAAATCCTAATCATATATTGCCTAGCCAAAGATTTCAATTTTGGAGCTGTTTGCCTAGACCACATCATATTTGACTAGTGTCCACTCCCTGCCAATTGTGTCAGTGTCACTTTGATTGCAGCTACACTCCAAACAATTCCAGTCATTCTGATCAATCCTAAACAAATGTCACCCAACCAAAGATCTTTATTTTAGAGTTGTTTCTAAGCTCTAAACACTTTCAGTATGCTCTCTTGTTAGTTGTGGTACAGCTGACAGTTCTCTACACACTAGAACCAGCTTTTGCATACCTGCACTTATAAGGGTATTTTTTGGGTGTGTTTTGCACTTAGAGGCATTACTAGTATATCATTACATCTCAGTAAAAAGAGTACTTATAACACCACCTAAGATTATAATAGTAAATAGCTACTATATGCCTCACTCTAAATGGTTAGGCATGTATCCTATATAAAAGAGAGTGCTTTGGGGTCTAGAATACTTCTATCTAGTAGTCAACCCAGCTAAAGTAGGCTCTGGAACAACTGCTTTGTAGGCTACTTACAAGTAGCTACTTGGAGTATGATAGATTATAGTATATATTGGGAAGTATTGCCTTGATTTTATGACCTGACTAGTTTAAGCTAGCATACCCTGATTAGTTATCCTAGATTTCAAAACCCCATGATCTTTACCCTACTCCCCCTCATCTTTTAAATATGCTCCCTCTCCATCAAACTCTCAGTCATTTCTTCTTCCCCCTCTCTTCCACATAGACTAGTAAAAATCTTTGATACCTGGTTTTATGAAAAATGAGGAATCTATCTTAACAACAACAACAATATTTAGCACTATAATAATACCATAGATCAAGTAGAAGAATCTCCTCTCCTATCTCCCCTCATAAACCTCCAACAACTCTTTATGGCAGACACGGCCAATGCTAATAACACCACTACTACTACTACCACTAGGAAAAGTCATGTTGCCAAACTAGAAGAATAAGATGGCCAGTACCTTGACTGATTCTGGCACTTGGTTAGATTATATACTATAACCAACAAGAAGGACTTTGAAAAAGATAAAGACAAGATAATCTTTGCCCTCTCATTCATGCATAAAGGTGTAGCAAATACATGGGCCCACAATTTCATCAACAAAGACCTAGAATATGATCCAGTTGCTTGGGAAACCTAGGCAGAATTTGAAAAGGAACTCGGATTTTCCTTTTCTAACTCTGGTGATAAAAAAATAGCACAAGACAAGCTGGCTAAACTTCATTAAGGGAACTCAATGATGGAAGAGTTCTTCCAACAATTCAATATTCTGTCAAGGTTGGCAGGGTATAGCATAGACCATAACCACTTTCTAATTGATCTGGTTGAGTGAAACATGAGGTTTAGTCTAATTGAGAAGATCTACTCATCTGGCTTGATTTTCAACACTCTTGTAGACTATAGAAAATATATAATAGCATTGGACACTTTGGAAAGAAGGCTCATATCAGTCAATAGGACCTCTGGTTCTGGAAATTCCACAAAGGGCTCTTCTATGCCAAATTGGAGACAACTAATTAAAAAAACAAAGATAATATTAGAGCAATTATTGGCTCTAGTACAAACTTGAAAGAATGGCACTAGCACCATGTTTGGGAGATGTGGATAGCCAATAGACATTGAGAAAGCCCATTATGAGGGACTATGTTTCAACTGTGGTGCAAGTGCCGCCTCCGTTGCGTGCGGCCGAGAAAGGCCATCTATTATATAACTGCTTAAAACTGCAAAAGTCTACCAGAACCTATGTAAGACAAGTTATTGATGGACTATTAGAGAAGGATCGCAAGGACTTACTGGCTGAGCTAGGTTTTCCTTAGAGTTAGTGAGTGAACAGTCTATAACCCTGCTAATCTTTGTATCATTTCCATCTATTAAAAATTCTAATGTATTTATTGCATATTAAATAATATTATTTAACCAGACAAGACTACAGATATAAGAAAAAAAAATAAAACCCTAGTAAGAGAGCTAAGTATTGCAAAATAACTTGATATGCATAAAGTGTATTATTAAGTAAAGAGAAAACCCATTAATGAGCTTATAATAGATGTTTAGATCTAATTCAACAACCAGAGAAACTTTACCATAAAAGCATTGTTAGATTGGGAGTATACTAGTATAACACTGTCAAAGGAATTCATCAGGAAAAACAATATTAGCACTAAGAAAATCATTAAACTAATCCTTGTATGAAATACCACTGGTAGTATAAACCAGGGAGGACCAATAATAGATTACATTAAAATAAAGCTTACTGTGAATGACTATGAGGAACAAATAGTTTTAGCATTAGCTAAACTTGAGAATACTAATCTTTTCATTAGGTATGAATTACCCTGCATGCTAGATAGGGTAGATATACTCTTGATGCCACTATACTATGTAGGCAAAGGTTCAAAAGGCATTGTTAAAAAGCTAGTGAGAGTGTAACACCAAGCAGTGATACATGTCGTAGGCGTGGTATGTACTACAGCAACTGACATCCTTGACACATATACAGATCTCCTCCTATTTGACTTGCTCATAGATAAAAAGTGCCATAACAAAGCTACAAGACTAGCTACTTTCTTAGAAAAATACCCTCTATATATATACATACTAGTGGCAGCCTACACAACAATCTATATACCAAACAAATCACCTCTTTATAAGCTATTAAACATGGCCTATGGAATCCACCTAAGCATTTACAAGAATATCAAGGCAGTCCAGCATAGCCCCAAATAGCATTCCAATATCAGGATGAGTATCATCCTAAACAAAGAGGCAGCTATTGAGGAAGAAAAAGGAAACACAGACAAAGTACAAGTATATTTGGATGGCTTGCTTATTAGTAGTAGAGTAGGTACAGCAGTGGCACTCTACTATACCAATAGGAAAAGTAAAGTACTATACAAGTACCTTGACATTACACTATTTATAAAGCTAAACTGACAGGAATTCTATTAGCAATATAGCTTCTATAGGATAAGACCATATACTAATTAGCCTCTATTGCACTGGACAATATCATAGCTATATAGGCAATAAAAACAACATTGAGCTCCTTAGGTTCCTACCTAATAGATATCATACACAAGATACTCAAAATTGACTTTGATAGGCATATTCACAAAAAGTAAATCATCTGCTGGATACCAGGCTATATTGAAGTGGAAGAAAATGAGAGAAGTGATGTAAAGGCCAAGAAAGTAGTAAGAAGACTTGAAAGCAACAACATAGCACTACTAAAGATAATGAGGCAATAGCTTCTAATTAGTTGTTTTATAGCCAGACAGAGTTTCAATAATAGACTCAAAAAGCACTAGAAGAAACATATGGAGAACTCACTAAGATGGCCAAAGTTAAAGAGCATTGACTTTATGGTGCCTTCTAACAGATTCCAAAAAATCACCTTCTTTCTTTTGCATAAATATATCACTACCCTAATATAACTTTATACTAGTCATATACCCCTTCAATGTTATTTACACAAAATAAAATGTTTTACATGTGGGCTACATAAAGAGATGGTAGCACACTTTTTACTTTAGTATAGCAGCTACAAAGATAGTTAATACCACCTTGAGCAAGTAGTTGGATGAGTAGGCAGAAACATTTTAAATTTTTTATCTAATTCACACATGTTTTGGCACCTGTTCATATACTCGTGCCCACAAAAAGTGTTTGAACACCGTCACGTGAAGCTTCTATATGAGTTGCCGAGCTTTAGTAGTCTTAAGAAATTCATGCCTCCTGCTAGAACCACTAAGTTTACACCCTCAAAAAGAGGTCGAATCCTTGCTTTGCATGATCTTGGATACTTATATCAAAAAATTGCTTTCTTGACTAGTGCTTCTGTCGGGGCATGCCATTATACTGTCACTCGCAAGAACTGATTCCATACCCGACACAGTCTTCCTCAATCTGGCCGGCCACATATCATTGATGGCCACACACAGCGCAGGGTCCTTTGTGAAATCCGTACACACCGTCTGGACCCTTATTCCATTATTTCTGAGCATGTTGAACATGTAACATCCCGACAAGTTCGCACCATAGCAACTTCTGCTGGCTATCACCACTGAGTTGCACGTCGCAAGCCTTTCCTATTACCAGTGGCTATCCAGAAACATCTCATTTGGGTAAAGGAGAATATGACAAGGGATTGGAATGAGGTTATCTGGACTGATGAGGCAAAGTTGTAGTTAGAAGAGAGGCCAGGGCACAGGAGAGTGACGAGATTACCAGGTGAAGAATTTCTTCCTGAGAACATACAGCCAACCTTCAAGAGTGGCCGCAAATCCATCATGGTATGGGGGTGTATTGCACATCATGTGAAAGGTCCGCTGATCAAGCTGGAATTCCCACCTGAAACCATGAGTGAGAAGGGCTGAAGATGAGATGGAGGCTTGGATACAAAAGAGTATGTTACACAGGTTTTTGAAGGGCCTCTAAAGGATTTTTTCGACAGGATGGAGCAGCAGCAGATATGTCTCATGCTTGTTGTCGAAGATGGAGCACCAGCCCACACAAGCTGTCTCGCAAAATCTGCTCGGTTGAAACTGGGCATCACACCCCTAACACATCCTCCATCTTTACCCGATCTTAACCCTATCGAGCTATTATGGCTGCTGCTCAAAAACTGTGTTGCTGATATCCTAGGTGCCAGTAATTCTCTCAAGAACCTATGGTTAGCAGCACAGCATGCATGGGAAGAAATTACAGAAGAGGAGATTCAGAGACATACTAGGAAGATGTCAGAGAGAGTTGCACAAGTTCAGGCAGCAAAAGGCTGGCATACAAGATTCTAACTACTGTATTGTATAAAAGACATTCCTAGCTCTTCATAAAAACTATCAAATTGTCGATCCATTTACAATTGCTCTCAGGAGACAGTCAGAAACTAGGAGACATGTCATGTCACAGTCACCTGTTTAAACACTTTTTGCGGGCACGAGTACATCAATAAGACCCAGAGCTTCAAGGGAATATTCAGAGACCTAAACTGGCCAAAGACAACAGATATAGAATTGGATGACCTAGGGAATCTAGAAAGGAATGAGTAGTAAATGAATAATCCCTAGACCATACAGAGAAGAAGTAGGGGAGCTGGATAAGTAGAAGCAGATAACAGAATTATTGCATCAGTAGCTAAACCTAGCATAATGAACAGACAAGTGAAAGATAAGTACTATATATTACTTACCCTCTCTAATCCTTACAAAAGTAACCCAACCTCCTAGAGGTCATTATGTGCTTTATAAGGGCTATTGCTGAGTATAAAGTAGGAGTGAGAAACATACATCTATGTATAGCATAATATAATACATAGGACACCATCTAGGCATACAGCTAGCTATAATTAGACATTAATACATGAATTTAAAAAAAAGATTATTGCCACTTGATATTATTGGCCCTTATAGCCTCTCAACAAGCACTAGCTCAAGTCTAGCAAGGCATGGCAAGGACAACCACAACACTAGCAATAGTTAACCTACTAGTATACCTCTTTGCAAATATTCTGGATATGACCTATGCTCTGCCTCATAACCATAATATTAGTATACCTCTGAATATTCTAGTAGTTACAAAGGATAGGCTAGCATACAAGACCATGACCTCTATATACAATAATAAAATCACCTCCAAGGTTTATAATCATGCAATATCAACCCTAGTGACACCTATCCAGCATGAACTTTTCTTGTTTGCCCTAGAAGTGTGATTTCAAGTCTACAAAGTAACCTTAGCAAGGAGGACACTATCCAAAGAACCTAATAAAGTCTGAACACTGTATCAGAATATAGAGCTCCCTTATACAATTAACAACCTTAATCCCCCATTCTCAATGGTCTCTTCCTTTATACATATTATCTATTAGCCAGTAATACATCTACTAGGATCCTATAGTTCCCAACTTTTATGAGCAGTACCTTAGCTTGCTATTACCCAATCAGATTCTCCAAATGCTTATTGTTGCTAAAGAATTCTCAGCTTTAAGGTTGATTATTCTCCTTATTGATAACCAGCAACTTATTGAATGTGTTATTAACTCTATGACCCAGAAATTGTTCTTAATATACAGTTGGCCAATAAAAAGATCAACAAATTTCTTGGTCTTGTATATAATGTTTCTTTCTTAATTGGCAATATCATTCCTTATCTCTAAGCTTATATTATTTGCAATCTAGCATATAATGTGCTACTTGGTTGCCCCTTTGAAATTCCCATGGAGAATATCATTAAGAACATTGCTAATAAAGACCAGACGATTACAATAAGCAACCTAAATACTAGTTAAAAGGTGATAATACTAATGATTTGACAAAGCCCTCTGAGAATTCTCCACCATAGCAACTTAGGTTTTTGGAACTTAAGAAATCAATTGTGAATTAATAAGAGATTGCTTTAGTCATTGCTAAAGATTCATATATCCAAAATTCTTCCTATATTGAAGCTATGTCTATATTCTTATCTCACTCACTTTATTTCTCTAATATTAGTCCCACCTATTTCTTAGCCTACAATCTGTGGCATAAAACCCTTAAAATTTTTTTACCATATTTCTTCAATAACTCTTTCTATGCTACATACCCTATACCTTATACTCTGCCAAGAAGAGGAAAATCTTACTTTTGGTGCTGGCCATCCTTTAACACAAACATATATATTGTGTTTAATACTGTAATAAGACAGAGCTGCTATATAAACAGTATAAATATAACAAGCAAGGCAGTGAATGTTGTCAAGAATAAAAAGGATAGGAAAGGCAAGAGAAAAGAGGGCCTGAGAGGACAAAGAGGTAGTAGTAGGAGGAAGAGGAGTTAGCAAGAAAGAAAAAGAAGCAGAAGGTTGAAAAAAGGAAGGCAAATGGAAAGAACAAACAAGTGTAGTACAAGGAGATAAGGGACAAGAGACAAGCAACTTGTTCTGGCACTGCAAACTATTACACAACTTAGAAAGCAGTTAGAAAGAGAGAAAAGAAAGACATACTTATTGTCCATTAGCCAGCAAGTCCACTGGCATGAGGAGACCCTCCTTAGACTACCTCTAGCACTTTATAGTACACTCCTTCCCCTAGACCTCCTACACCTTTAACTGGGCCATAGAATTTATCAACATTTATACAAGGGATATATACCACTTTCTCTTCTAATTGACCACCACCACTGCCTCTTCCTTATCCAGAAGGAACAAATCAATACTAGAGGGTAGTAGGCTTTTTTACACTAATAGTACTGTAGTCAACACCTATAAGGCATCAATCCTGTCACTTACCCATAAGATAGGCATTGCCATCTCAATGTCCTTATTATGCTCCTTATTAACTCTATACTCCTTATCTAGTGGCTCAGCTTTGCTCTTTGCCTACAATATTTCACCAAGCATGAAAAGAGCTACAATAGCAAAGATTTTGGCTTTGCAGCTATTCCTTATTCATGACCCATTGCTTTTTAACCCTTCAAGCTTCTTTAGCTACCTCATGCCTCATGTACTCTTTATTGACCAATTAATATTCCTTAGCTAGTCAACAAGCCTTATCTTTGGCAGCCACTTTCTAGAGGTGCTTATTATAGTATATTGTATGAGTCCATAAAATGTAGGACCCCTATTACAACTACTTATTAGTTACATATGTTTCAAGTATGTGCTTGGTGCTGTTGAGCTACCATGTGAGTATGGAAGATAGGATAAGCTCATTAGTTGCCTCAAGCTAATTCTAAAGAATGGTTCATATACAAAGCAAGAGAGAAAGAAAATAAATACACAAGAGTCATTGGTAAATTATGGCCCTATGTGATAAAGGCCACCATCTTGGCTAGATGCTTTAGAGAGGTATTAATGAGGGAAGAGAAGGAGGCAAGGAAGAGCTTAATAAGAAGGGAAGGCATAGGTAGGAAATATTGTAGAAGAAAATAGGTAATTAAGAGGGCTGGATTGGAAGAGTAGGAGGTATTAGTAACATACTAGAGATAATATAGGCAAATAATAAATTAGACTTGGGTGCTGCTGATACACTAGCAATAGCTTTACTTACAAAATACACAATAAAACACACTACTAGACATAGAGTAGGCAAGAGCTAGCTTTGTGGTATAAGGAATAGTCAGCCTAGAGGAAACAACCAAATTGTAGATAGGGTAGTCTAGATCTAGGCATAAAATGCTCTATAATGCTTTGTGATACTTTGTGATGCCCTACAAGACTTGATATTGTAAGATTTGATATAATATTGTAATATTGCGGCCGTAATACTGCAAGGTTGAGGTTTTGATATTATAAGGTTTAATATGATAGGGAGAAATAAGGAGAGACAAAGAGATGCTTGGAAAAATAAAGAGATATTTGGACAAGTAGAAGAAGTGGTGCTAGAAGATAGGGATATGAGACACTATAAGACTATAACATAATTTAGAGCAATACTAAGTAGTTTGAAGCTAATAGGAAGATAATAACAAAACTCTAAAGCATACTATAATGGCTCTTAGAGGTCAAGGTCAAGGTTGTGAGGTTATAAGGTTACAAGATTTACAATAATTAGTAATACAAGAGTGTTTTGGACAAGGTATGATCTGAATAGTGGAGAAAATGAAATTGGTATATTATAAAGAGGATAGGTAGGTTTTAGTAAGAAAAAAATATTAGATACACAGAAGAGAAAAACTATGATAAAACTTGAAAATCTCAAAGACATATGAAACTGCTCTAGGCTATATGAGATTGTAATCTTGGCATTGCTCTATTTATCTCACATAAAATTGGAAGGTTTTGGCATAAGTAGCAAAGAGCTTAGAGAAATAATGAGAATAGAGATAAGTCCAAGAACTAATAGCATAATTACAAGGTCATATAAGCAATACTATGAGAGTGTGAAAATTTCCAAGGTCAATAATATTAATATAATGAAAAAGAACAATGAAAAAGTAGTAAGAAATTGTACAATAGCCTATGGAGATTGCATAAGTACTGTAAGGTTATGCAAACATTGGAGGGATTGTGTAGGAAAATCAGAGCTTATGATAATACCCATAGAACTACATAAAAGCCTGTAATATTGTACTAATAGTTTTAAGGTTATACTGTAGCTAAGATCTATGTTATAAAAGCTGCAAAATTAGGGGGCTTAGAGCACAGCATGGAGACATGCTTATTAATGCATACCTCTAACTAAATAGGAGCAAACATCAGCCACTCTAGTATAACAAGCCTCTGCTTTAAGCTCTCATTAACTACTATACCTTGTTAACCCTCTATTTTTATGCCACTTTGTTATTAACCTAGATCTGACTCAACTTGTTTATGCTACTCACTTTCTTCCATACTTTTATATTCTATTTTTGCCACTCAGTCACATGCTACTGCCATCTTCTAACCAAACTCCTACAATAGCCATATAATCTAGTCTCTTTGTTTATGACCAACTACTATCTTATACTACACCTTAATATCACTAGGTTTGGCCAATATCTATAATGCACTTTTCTACTTAGCCACTAGGTCATATAATATGGCATAAGACCATTAAAAAACAGTCAGGATTTTAATAAAGAAGATAACATCTAGAAAAACCATACTCTTCATTATGCTCAAATTCTTATAAAATTCCCACTTATTATTATGATAAATTTTTAGCTTTCCCTTTCTTTTATCTATAGCTTATAAAGGCTAATTATCTTGAATTATGCATATTTAGCTCTAATTATATATAATTTCTATTTAAAATTTTCAAAAAATAATACTCAACCAAGTACTAAAATTACTTGCTAGTACTATGGTTATCTACAACTTTGAATAAAGCTTAGCTATA